AGCAGAAATATTTGGACAAACCGCTTAGTAAGCAAAACTAAGATAATTTAAGAAATCAGAAGAATGGCATATGCAGGAATTGTGTGACACCATAAAAAGACCAAACTTACGAATCATAGGCATACAGGAAGGAGAAGAACCCCAAGATAATGGCATGGACCATATCTTCAACAAAATCGTGAAAGAAAATTTCCCAAAATTAAAGACATGCCCATACAAATACAAGAAGCATATAGAACACCAAACAGACAGGACCAGAAAAGAAACTCTCCATGGCACATTATAGTAAAAACACTAAACACACAAAACAAAGAGACAATACTGAAAGCTGCAAAAAAGAAACAACAAGTCACGTATAAAGGAAAACCCATTAGGATTACAGCTGACCTTTTCAGTGAAAACTATGACAGCCAGAAGAGCCCAGACCAAGCATTCCCAGTTTTAAATGACCACAGATGCCAACCCAGATTACTATATCCAGCCAAAATGTCTATTATAGTCGAAGGGGAAAGAAAAATCTTCCATGACATAAATAGGCTGAAGGAATTCATGTCCACAAAACCAGCCCTTCAGAGAGTTCTGGAAGCAACACAAAGAGCTGAAGAAAGGAATGACTATACCCAAGGGGTTGCAGAAAGAATTCCAACGAGGGTATAACTGTGGAAAAGTACAGCTATAACAAGAATGTAAACAGAAATAAAAATGATAGGATTCGATACTCATTTTTCAATAATAACTTTAAATGTTAACGGACTGAACTCTCCAGTCAAAAGACACAGACCATGTGAATGGATTAAGAAACAAAACCCATCTTTTTGTTGTCTGCAAGAAACTCATCACATTTTCAAGGACAGACACTATCTCAAAGTGAAAGGATGGAAAAAAATATACCAAGCAAATGGCACTAAGAAAAAAGCACGTGTAGCAATTCTAAAATCTGACAAAATAGACTTTAAACTAAAACTAATCAGAAGAGACAAAGAGGGCCACATCATTCTGATCAAAGGAACAATGAATCAAGAAGATATTACAACCATGAACATATATTCACCAAACTCAGGTGCACCCAACTTCATAAAAACAATACTACAGGATGTTAAGACCCAGATTAATCCCAACTCATTAATAGGAGGGGACTTCAATACCCCATTGTCACCATTATATAGTTCAA